CACGTCCCTTTGCACCCAACGTGTATTTACGATGTCACTATCACTCCAAAAAGCAAACCCCAACGGCATGAGGTTGGTCGGATCTGAAACCACCACCCGAGACCCCTTCCATCCCTGCTTGCCTCCATCTTCCCCGCGTGCACAGGGGCTGCACGTGGAGAAGTCAACACAGCAAACACACACCTGGTGAACAACACCGCTGCCTCCGCAGAGCCACGCACCGCACGCAAGGTGCAAGTTTCAGAGCAGCGTGCAGCACAAAAAATTTCCAATGCACTTAAGCATGCAATTAAAGCGGCTCGCACGTAACAGACATCTGTTTTAAGACTGATGGGAGAAATTACAGGGAACACTCTTACACAAAGCAAAATATTTACCTACCTGTTTATGCATTTCTATATTCAGCCCATAGGACATCTCGTAATACTATGAGAGAAGAAAATGCCTCTGTTAGACCTTGCAATTGTGAAAACCATTCCCAAATTCGCTTTGACTCTAACATCATTTGTACAAAGACACAGAGACCTAAAACATTTACTAGCTAGAAGAGCTCCTGGAATTTGTGACAGCATTTCACAGTAAACTGTTTTTTTCTTTTTTTTTATTTTTATTTTATCTACATTGCTTCTTGACAAATCTACAAAAGATGGCCATAAACTAAGCAAAAAAGCCCAACCCAGACAACAACAAAAAAATCAAAAGAAGTAATCACAACCAGACTTAAAGATTAGAAGCAGGAGAAAAAAAAAAAAAAAAAAAAAAAAAACACACACACAGAAAATACTCAAGATTTTATTCTCTAGCACACATAAAAGATGCCAAAAAACGCCCGAAGTGCTTGAAGCCAGACACACATATAAATCAGCAACGACTAACAGACCGGTTATTCAGTATTTTAAATTAAAAACACAAAAAAGCTACAATTAAATTGCAGGGATGCGAAAAAAGAAAGAGCATGTAAATTCAGAGCCAAAGCAGGCACACCACCCTACATATCCCCTGATGTGCCTGAGCATCTCAGGGAACTCAGGTCAGTGTGTTATGTTAGTACCAAACAATCTCCAAGACTTAAGCAAATCAGGCATGAAAAAGACAAATGCAAGCCTTAACATATGTTTGTGCTCTTGGTTAAGAATTTTTCCAGGTTATTTGCTCTTTTTTTTTTTTTTGTGAATACTTGTGTGTTATTTGTCACATACAAATGGAAAACAGTTAATCCTTCGTAGATGCACAAGGGAGAGGATAGCAAGAGCTCCTCTGGAGTTATCACGATCCATCATGCAATTATGTATTTAGGGATGTCTTCCTATGCACGTTATTTAACCAGGCAGACCACAACCATCGAGGAAATCCCTTTCACAGCTCAGATCCCTGCCGCTCTGAATTCAGTAAAACAATGAACCAGCAGCCCAGAAGCAACAGTTCTTCTAAGGACGGGGGCTTCAGGTTTATAGACATGCATGTGCAATTTGGGCTTACTGCCATCACAGAAAAAAAGGAAAATGTGACCCCAAACCGCTTTACAGAGGCACAGTAGCTGTGAGAAGTCAGTGTAAGTGAAAAATACATCATCCCCAGGAATATTGCTGAAGTTGCACATGCCTTAAAAGGGCTGACAAGTAACCTGCTACCACTTTGAAGAAATATCCCCAGTTGCTTGAAACATTGAAGAGCGGATTTCACGTAGAAACTAACTGCCACAAACAAGTTACAAACCCCTGAAACCAAGGGTGGATAATGGCAGCACGGATGCAACCTCCACAGCAGCAGCAGCACCAACTATAATCTTTCTGTTCGCCTCCAGCAATCCGAACGTATTTCAATCTCAGCACACCAAGCTAATAGACATTTTGAATTTGTTATGCAGCTTGCTTACCATGACATAATGTCGCTGCATCTCTGTCTTCTCACTGGCCAGTTTTTCACATTCTAGCTTCAAACTGTTCGAGACATAAAAAAAAAAAAAAAGCATGGGTACTTCATAACACAAAACTGACATTCTTCTGAGCACAAGGTACTCCCCTTTTCGAGCATTTCCCCAAGACACAAACAGAAATGCACGTTCCAGCGCCTGCCTGGGAGTTCAGGGTGGGGTTTATACTTTTCATCTTTCAAGAGAGATTGTGCAACATCCTCACCTCCTAAGCGAACTGCATACAGTACGCAGGAGAGCATTTTTCACTGACAAAAAAAAAATAATAAAACAAAACACCGGTTCACAGAAGACAGGCACACATGTCCTCACCTATAACACTTAAGCTTGAGAAGCCACTCAGAAATCCATGCTTTGGTCTTCCTAGCTTTTATTTAAACGAGCTTTGGAAACACCTCTTGTTTTCACCCAGCCCACAGAGGAATCAAATGTGTATCACTGCTTTGAGAAGCAAAAAGTTGCTGGGATTTTTTTTTTTTGTTTGTTGTTTCTTTTTTTTTTTTTCTTTGGGGGGGGAGAGGCTGTTAGTGATGACTAGGAAAATACCGCAGGTAATTTAAGGAATGCTGCGGTAAACACGAACACATCCATCGCTTTTTTTTTTTTTTCCTCTTTTTTTCCTTTTTTTTTTTTTTTTCGGTTTGTTTGCTTCCAGAGGCGCGCTAAGCAGTCCTGCCAGAAGTCACTTGTCACTTGGAGCACACGCCGCTCCTCCGGCTCGGGATAATGAAATCGCTGGCCGCCTCGCTCCCAGGTTATCAGCACTTGACATGTCAATGGAAGGCGCGAGGGGGCCGAGCCAAGGCGAGATGCGCGTCCTGAGCGCCGCTTCCCAGAAAAAAAGCGGGGGGTGCGCCCCGACGGACGCCCTTTCATCCCACACCCCCCACCCCACAAAGAAAACAAAAAATGGGGGAAAAGCAGGGGGAAAAAATACAACAACCCCCACAACCCCCCCGCCCAGGGGCTCGCACGGCTCCGCACCGTCCCCGCCGCCCCGGGTGCGGGTGCGGGAGCCGTGGCGGTGCCGGGGGGGGGTCCCCGCTGCGGGGTGTCCCCGCGGGGTGCCCGGTGTGCCCGGCGGGACGGCGTTACCTGTGGTACTGCGCCTGCAGAAACTGAAACTCCTCCTTGATCCGATCGCAGGACTCGGAGATGGTGAATTTGAAGGGCTGCGCTGGCTGGTGCGGAGCCTGCAAGCGGCGGGGAGACAGAGAGAAAGAGAGAGAGGAGAGGCAGCGAGCGGGTCGTGCCGGCGCCCCGAGCCGCGGCCCCCCGCGCCCCCGCCCGCCGCCCGCGGGGGCTCCCCGCGCTCCCGCCCCGACGGGGCCGCCGCGGGGGGAGGCGGCAGCCGGGAGCCGCCGGGACCCCCCGGCAGGGCGCCGGGACGCCGGGGCCGCCGCGCTCCGGCTGGGGGCAACTCGGCGGCGCCATCCCGGCTCCGGGTCCGGCTCCGGCTCCGGGTCGGGGTCCGAGCCCGGGGCGGCGGCGTTGGCGGCGGCGTTGGACAACAATAAGAAAATGGCTCCAAGTGCGCGCTGCCCGCGGCGGAGCGCTGCCCGCCGCCACTCACCGGGTGCCGGGTCTGCGGGTACATCTTGCTCAGGTCGCGGATCATCCACGCCGCTTCGGGGGGCGCTGGCGGCCGGGATCAGGGCTGCGGGCGAGTAGCAGGAGGAGGAGGAGGCGGCGGCGACGACGGCGGCGGCGGCGGCAGCGGAGGGCAGGGGCGCCCCGGCCCCGCCGCCCCGGTGCCGGCGGGGCACCCCCGGCGGCAGCGAGGCGCGGCGGAGGCGGCGGCGGCGGCGGCGTCCCCGGGGCGCGGGGGCCGCTGCCACATCCCCCGGGGGCCCCCGGGCGGCGCCGAGCGGGGCTGCCGAGCCCAGCCGAGCCCAGCCGAGCGCTCCGGCGGGCGGCGAGCCCCGTGCGAGGCGGCGGCGGCGGCGGAGGAGGAGGAGAAGGAGGAGGAGGAGGGCGGGGAGAGCCCCTCCGGCGGTGCGCGCCCCGCTCGCAGTTTCCTCCCCTCCTGCAAACTTTTAGCGAGGGGAGCGGGGCGCGGTGCGGAGCGGAGCGGAGCGGTGCGGAGCGGGTCCTGCTGCTGCTGCTGCTACCGCCCCGGCCGCATCCCCCGCGCCGGGCGCTGCTGCGTGGCCGGTGCCTGCTGTTGTTGGTGGTGGTTAAAGAAAAATTAAAAAAAAAAAAATAAAAAAAATAAAAAATAAAAAAGGAGTGGAAGGATGAAGAAGAAACCACGGTCCGGGCTGCTTTATTTACGTATTTCTCTCTTTTGTGTTTGTTTTGGTTGTTTCCTCGCCGGGCGGAACTCCGGGAAGTGCCGGCGGCAGCAGCAGCGGCAGCGGCAGCGGCGCCGCGCGGTGCGGAGCGGAGCGGTGCGGAGCGGAGCGGAGGGGTCGTGCCCGGCCCGGCCCGGCCCAGCCCAACCCAGCCCTGCCCGGCCCGGCCCGGCCCAGCCCAGCCCGGCCGCCGCCGCCGCTCCGCGCCGCTCCCCCAGCACGCTGTGGCGCGGTGACTCCTTTGCCCAAATTTAGCAGCGGCTCGTCATTAACATTCTGATACATATTCACGGCGCACGGGGGGCCGCCGCGCGCGGGGCACCCTGGGAGCTGTAGTCCTCGCGGGCCCGCGGCACCGCCGGCACCGCGCGGGCGGCGGAGCGCGCGGGACTCGCCCTCCCGGCGGGCACCGCGGCGCCGCCCGGCCCCCTCTCTCACCCCCTCCTCCGCCCCGCCCACGAAGGGCGTCGCCGCCGACCAATCAGCGCCGCCCGCGCATTAATCGCCGTTCTGTGTTAATGCCCATCACTTCGCCGCTGACAAATGGGCGTGCGGGACCGCGGCAGGAGGGAGGGGGGAGCGGCCCCGCGCCCGGCCCCCACGTGGGGCCGTGACGCCGCGAGGACCCGCGGCCAATCGGGCGGCCGCCCGGGCCTCTCCGCCGCTGTTTCCCCGCCGCCCGAGGCGGGGCTTTGCGATCGCCGCCGTGCCACAGCGCCGGCGCTGCAACAGGGGAAACATTTGTTCAGCTGTCAATCAAAGTAACGTGGGGCGCTGCCGGCCGCCGCTCCCCGCTCCCCGCTCCCCGCTCCCGCCGCATCCAGAGCGCGGGGCGGGGGCGCGGCGGGAGCTGAGGTGGGGGGGGGGGGACGGGGACGCGGCGGCCTCCGCCCCCTCCGGATTGCCCCCGCCGGGGGGGTGCCGCGCTAATTGGGGGCAGCCTCGCCTGCAAGAGGCCAGCGCGGCCCCGCGGCGTCGCCTCACAGCCCCCTGCCCCCCCCTACTCCCCCCCCCCCCCCCCATATAGGATGGGGGCGTCCAACGGTCGGGTAACGGTCGAGTAACGGCCGGCGCCTCAGGGCGCGGCAGCCCCCCACACACACACACACCCACCCCGGAGGCCGCCCCTCTCCGCGCTGTGTGTGCTTTTATTTTATTATTTTATTTCTTTTCCTGGTGTTGTTGTCTGAAGGTGACATAATTAAAGTTTTTTGTTGTTGTTGTTTGTTGTTGTTGTTCTTCCCCGCTGGCAGCGCTTCAGGGACGGGATCTCTCCTCTCGGAAGCGGCGCCCTGAGGAGGCGAGGAGGATGCTGCCGCTCGCCGGAGCCGGAGCCGGGCGGAGGGGACCCGACGTTCGAAGCCGCCCCTCCTAAAGACACGCAGGGAGCGAAGGGGCCGCCGGATCCCACGGGCCGGGTGTCTCTGAAGGTGCGGGGAGCCTGTGTCTGCGAGCCACCCGCAAGGAGCAACAGATAGCTGACAGATAGCTGTGAGGTCCCACAGGCAGCCTGGCTGCGGCCGCGGCGGCTTCCGTGGTCTGCAGGCTGGAGGGAACACACCCAGGGAGGCCTGTCCCCTCCAGGAGCCCTAACTTCTTGGAAAGCAGCCCCGCACCGCTCGGTGCCGTGTCCTAGAAAGACCCCATGGCAACTTTCCTGCCAAGCCCCACTTCAGGCAACACCATGCACCGGTGCACATGGGAGCGATAGGCTCAGGCTGCTTTTTTTTTTTTTTTGTCTGCGCCTGTCATGCTTAGATTTGCCTCCGAGCAGTTTGTACTCCTGAAGATCTGCCGTTTAAACCTGCATGCAAAATAGATGTGGTTTAGTCACGTCACTTTGGATGCCTGTGCTCAAAATCCATAGTCTCAAAACTTTCACTCAGCAATTAGTGCCCTAATAATGGTAGCTAACGTGCACATATTTGCATTTGTAGTAGTAAAATCTCTTTACCACCCCCTTCTCTCTGGCTAAAGCTTGTAGTTGCTGAGCAGCTTGAGACCTTGATGGACCACTTCACCAAGGTTCTGCCTTCCTTGACTGCCCTCCAAGGGCTGGTCCGGTGGTCAGGACCTCAGGATGCTGGTGTTGGTGGTGATGGCACCATCTGTCCACCTGAAGAAGGTGGTGATGACATCCATCTTCCATTCCCGTCTAAAGTTTAGGAGGTACCGGGCAGAAATTCATCACCTTTCTGTTTTGAAGGGGAGTTTGTAACCAGAGTCTGCTTGCAATCTGGCATGTACTGTAACCTAGGAGTGTTTTGTGGCAAGTGGTTCTAAACCCTTCTGAAGCCATTTTTGCCTAATATAAAATCCAGGTCACTGGGAAATTGACCAAAATGTGTCCTTCTCACCTTTTGTTTTTCTATGACCAAAAATGCCTACAAGGTTGGCTTCATTAGCCATAGTAGTACCCAGGCTTTGTCATGCTTGCAGGTTTCATTTCTGCTGGTATTTTCACATTTACAGAGCTCATAATCAGTGCCCCAGTGGAGTTTAGGCCTCTAAATACTGTTAGAAGATATGGAGGTAAAGCACCTGAATAATTATGAAAAGACCACTGTGCTTGTGTTATGAACTGTCCAGCACCAGAAATGCTTTTAAAGGATTGGTCACAAGCATCTTGCACGAAGCAGTGGAGCACTTTCAGCTCCTCTGAAACGGAGAACGTTCACTACATGCCAGGAGCACGTCTCGACGTTCAGAGGTATGGCTGCAAAGCCTGCAAATGCTTTAGTGTTGTGCTTGACACCCAGGTGCTTGAAAGCTTTGCGAGAACAGAACAATTATGGGACTCTGTGGAGTTGTGAGTGTTTCTGGAAATATGATGGGTGGGTTCAGACCATAATTTTAGGATCCTCAATGCAGAGAAGGACTAGTCCAGTTATAAAATAAACGCTCTGTCTGAAGATACTGAATTCTGAAATAACAGGAGGATTTTGTGTTCTCTGTAGCCCTGCCTTCGTTTTGCGTGAAGTACAGAGTTCCAGAGTAAAAGGTCTTCAGCGCACTGGCAGACAAACATACAGAGCTCTGCCATCAAAGCTGTCCCTCTTCTTTTGGAGAGCACTTTGGCAATGACATTATCTATGCCTCAGCATAGTTCATTCTCTTGTCTTCAGTGAATTTATGTTGCTCTGTCCTACTGACAGAGCTAGATTTGCTGAGCTTTACCAAAATGACTGTGTGTACCTACTTAACTCTAACAAATGAATCAATGTGCATTTTTGCCCAGTTTTGCAACATTCTTGCAAGATCCATAAAACTCAGAAGTTTAAGAGAAAGTGTGCTATAACTTGGCACTTTTAAATGATGTGAATTAAGATCAGGATGTCAATGTCATTCTATTTTCCTGTCTTTTGTCACTTCTGACACAGCCTTGATGGATCTTTAAATATAGGTTGTTTTGTATTTAAAGTTCCTTGTTTTTTCCTTCTTTTATGAAAAATCTTTTATGGTAGGTTATATAACCTGTACTATTATTTAGCAAGTAGAGAAGGTAGCTTTTAAATGTTTTACACATCTTGCTAAAGATTTCTCATAAGTGAATCAACTGCAAGAAATATTTAGGCAGTTTTACAGGCACAGTAAGTGTGTTGAGTTTGGGCTGGTGGAAAAAAAAAAAAAAGCCTTGTGAAATATCTCAGAGAGGCTAAGGGCTGCAAAGTGTCTCATCCATTCTTTTTCTCCTATGAAGTGGTTATTTCGGTCCTATTGATTCAGAACTAGTCTGCTTTTACTTATATTTAAAATGTAAGGTCTAAAATGAACAGAACAATGTGTGCCTATATATGTATATTAAAGGATAGGTTAAAAAAAAAAAAAAAAAAGAGGAAATTTTATTTTCCAGCTAAGGTTGTCTAACCCACTCGCAGACTCTGGTGATCTTTTTATAGCTGAGCCATAACCTTAATACAGAGACTTATCAGTACCAGAGGACTTTTAATAACAGGTCCAATCCTGAGGCCATTTGGTATGTAACCCCACAGATTTCCTGTCTGGAATGACTGTAGCTGAAGACCAACAGGGCTGTGCCTACTGCTGCAACTTATTACACTTTAATTTGAGACCAAGTTACCAGGTCACCCTGCTTGGTCAGCTGTGTACTCACAAGCACACATTCATGCGCACACATGTTCGCAAAAATAAAGGTGAGAAGTTCTTTGACAAATCAATCAATTCAAAATGCTTTATACTAAGTCCTAAATTAGTAGACATATTTAAATACACCATGTAACAAGCCTTCAAAAAGATAAACTCAAGGAGGTTTTCAGTTGAATTGGCACTAAGTTCCCTCTGCTTTAAACTTTTAATTAGGGTGTTAAGCCAGGTTTTACTGGTAGAAGAATGTGACAACATGACATCCATTTTGTGTACTTGTGTTTTACAAGTGCTATCAAGTGACTTTGTCTCAGTAAACCATCACTGTGTACAACTTCCTAAGTTAGTTGTTAGTGACCATAGGGGTATGTTGTTAATAAGCACATTAGGAGAACTTATGATACTATGTTTAATATGATGATTTATATGTCAGTTAATAAGTATCCCTCTCACAAAAACAAGAAATCTGTGCAAAGCAGTTTTCGTGTTCTAGATTTCTTAATGAAGTCTGTACATTCTTCTTCAACACTGCCAAAGTCCCATTTTCTTTAATTTTTACAGGCATTAGTGTTCTGGATTCATGGTCTTAATTTGTTTATTTCTGCAGGCCTGCCTGATTTATTTCATGCAAACTTCTTGCAATGACACAATTCTACTTACAGTAAATTCTCTTGGGATATGACAGGAAAACCTCTGTTAAACTCCGCAGAAGTTTTATCAGCAGGAAGGGTAGCATTTTAGGGCCTGTTATATACTAGAGGTTGGATTTGCAAATGTGGACAGTGCAGAATGGCTTAGGCAGATACTTGAAATTAAAGTAATTTTTCGTAGACAAATGCTCCCTTTCTCATTGAAATACAAGAACTACCAGTAAGGATTTTTTTTTTCCTGCGGCAAAACCCCTGCAATTTATTAGGGAAGAAAACTCCCTCATAGCAGTCTTGCAAAATCCCATGCTTCACTAAATTTCATATGCACCTTATTATCAGGTTCTAGATATGAGTGCTTTCTGCAAGGCAAGGAGTTAGTCTTAAGGCCTCTCTACAATATTTGTTAAATGGCCATAGCCATGAAGCTGTTTAACCCACATTTTGTATCAACATTCTTCCATTCTTCTAGTTTATAATAAACATGAACCAATAATGATATGACATGATCTGCAAAGCTGGACCTCAATCAAGTATTTTCACATATTATAGTCACATTTATAGTCACATCTTAGCTAAATAAATATTACAACTCTGATGAGAATGCAACAATATTTCTTAGCGCATTTTATTCACAGGACACATGTTAATCTTAGGAAAAATCTATCAGTTCATTTGCAGGCTTGGATCCAAAGCTTCCTTAGCTTTCAAAAAAGTAATTGTCTTTTTTTTTTCATAAGACAATGTGTGGGCTTGGCTAAGTGCTGAAAGGCAGAGTTAGGATGATGAGGAAGTCACTCACTCACATGACAGACCTCACATGCAGTCACCCCCAACACAGGAAGAATGAGGACTTCCATCCTAGAAGCTGTGACTATCTGAAAACATGTGGCTTACCATCTTCCCTAACCAGGCTTCAATGCTTACTGCAATGTTGAGTCTGCTAGCAGTGTTAGAAGATAAGAACAGATTTAGCATGCCTTCTTGCTACCCAAGATGCACTTCATGCCTCTGAAGGCAAAGAGAGTTCCCCAAGCCTTTGCAACACCATCAATGAAAGTCACTATTTAGCCTCTGGCCCATATAAATTAATGAATAAATCTAATTCTTTGAGTTAAATCTTTAACTCAAGGCTTCTTAGGTGCAATGAATACTATTTCACATTTTTTGAATCTTTAGCTTTTTTAAAAGCACATACTAAGTTAAAAGGGGATGTGTTTTCACATTGAATTGTTGAGAAGGAAGGCATCGCTGTTTAGGAATCAACGTTGTGGAATGATATGTATTAGAACCACATATCTTGTCGTGCAAGGAAACTATGTAAATCAATTGAACTTTACAAGTTCAAGGCACGTTAATAGCGTGAGGAAAGGTGTACTTTCCAAGAGGTCAAAATAAAGAAAAAATAGTTTAATGTAATATTCCTTTAGAATATTATATGGAATCTAAAAATATTTAATGTTCTTAATAATGACTATATTAACATTACTTTGGTAAAAGTGAGTAAACTACACAGATCAAAAATATATGAGAATTAAATATATAGAGAGATATATGTATTCAGAATGCAAGTAAGATTTTGAAGATCTCTTTTTCCACATTATACTGCAAATTTCCCGCTTGCTCTGAAAGGGAGAAGACACCATTGCTCTTTTAATTTGCAGTCATACATTGCTGTTGACTTGCATGCTGTTATTGTCCTGCAGACTCAGCAAGCACTGGGAATCAGAAATTTAGATACTGTGTATTGTGAAACAGTTTTATTGTCTTTGCACCTTCCTCAGGAGCAACATTCATGACTAAGACATACGCATCTCTTTTA